CACAAAACTACCGTTGTCTGAAACTAGAGGTGAACATAAGGCCAAATGTAATCATTGTCGTGCAATATATAGTTGCGATCCTATTAGATATGGCACTAATTCTATGAACAAGCACTTGCACAGATCTCATAAATGGATATTCAATAAAGTGGATAAGAAAGCGACACTTCACGGCTACATGCCAAAGATTAATGAAGAGGGTGATTTAGTGACAACCAATGTTGAGTATAATTTGGAGGATTGTAGGAGAGCCTTAGCTGAATTTGTTATTTGTGATGAAATGCCTTTTAAGGTTGTAGAAGGGAGAGGATTTCGTAAACTTGTGAATCGATTAGAGCCTCAATTTACTGTATCATCTAGGTTCATAATTGCAAGAGACTGCTGCCAATTATTTTTAGATGAGAGGAAAAAGTTAAAGATTTGGTTTATGAAGTCTAGCATGCGTGTTTTTTTTACTACCAATTGTTGGACTTCAAACCAAAATCTTTCCTACATGTCTTTAACATCCCATTTTATTGATGAAGAGTGGAAATATCATAAAAGAATTTTGAACTTTAGCTTAATTGAAAACCATAAGGGCAAGACCATTGAAAGAGAGATTGAAAGATGTTTAAGAGAATGGGGCATTGACAGTGTATTCACAATAAAAATTGATAATACTGGCTCAAATGATGTGGCTGTTTCTTACCTTCAAAAGAAAATAGATGCTAGAGGGAGGCTAGTGTGTGGTGGAAAATATATGCATATGAGATTTTGTGCTCACATTCTAAATTTGGTAGTTAGTGATGACATAAAGGAACAAGATTCTTCTGTTGAAAGCATTAGGAATGTTGTGCACTATGTAAGATCTTCTTCCCAAAGGTTTAAAAGATTTAAAGAATGTGTTGATGAAGAAATGATAAATTCTCAAAGTCTTGTGTGCTTATATGTTTCAACAAGATGGAATTCAACTTACTTGTTGTTGGAACGTGTTGTAAAATTTGAAAAAGCATTTGATAGACTCTATTATTGAGAATCATAGTTTCGAAAATGGTTTCGTGTTGATGATAAAGAAAAAAAGAAGGAAGGTCCACCAACACATTTTGATTGGGAACATGCAAGGACATTGCTTATGTTATTGAAAATTTTCTATGATGTGACTTTAACTTTCTCGAACTCTTTACATGTGACAACAAATAAATGCTTTCATGAAATTGCATCGATACATTCCGAGTTAATTTTGTTGAGTCTTAGTGAATCTGAAATCTTGTGCTCAATAACATGTTCAATGAGATCCAAGTTTGATAAATATTAGGGAAATCCTGAAAAGTTTAATCCTTTATTGTTTGTGGTTGCTGTGTTGGATCATCGGTATAAACTTGATTGTGTTACTTGGAACTTAGAGAACATATATACTAAAGAGTTGGCAGACGAAATGACTATTTTGGTTAAAGACACATTGGTAAAATTATATATGTTTTATTCTAAAAGGATTTCTGAGCATAAGGAAAGTGAGATTGGTCAAGTTTCATCCAAAAATGTTGCACCAAATGAGAAACTTAAAGAGGATGGTGTCAAAGGTGTTGTGGAGAGCAGGCTACAAGCTTGGAAAAAACAGAAAATAGCCAAAACTCATCTAGATAAATCAGAACTTGAGATATACTTAGCAAAAGATATACTAGATGTGGATGAGAATGTTGACTTCAACATTTTGGATTGGTGGAAGATCAATTCTTCAAAATTCAGAGTTCTTTCTGCCATTGCTCGTGATATGTTTGTTGTTCAAGTTTCTACAGTGGCATCTGAGTCATGCTTCAGCACCAGTGGACATGTTCTTGATGTTTATCTTAGTTCTTTGTCTCCTAAAATGACTGAATCACTCATTTTCACTCAAAATTAGTTATATCCTTTTGGCTTCAAATTCGCCGAAAATGATTTTGATCATTTTTAGAATATTGAGAAGATAATTCATGGTGAGTTTTTAAATGTTTTTATGATTAATTAATTTAAATTTTCTTATACTTTAAACTAATTCATTATTTATTTTTGTAGATGTTCACAATAAGATTGTGGAGTCACAAGGAGAAAATGACAAACAAGAAGCCACAATCATTGATCATTAGTTTATGAACTCATGAAGGATGAAACAAGCAGATGTTCTGCAATGCTACTGTTCTGCAATATTAATGTTATCTTTAAGAATGATTTTTGCATTTTTATATATTGTTTTAGAATTATTTATAAATTAAATATAATTCCATCATGTTTGTTATTTTCAAAAATTTTGATTTTGATTCCTAACATATGTTATGGTGAATTCATAAATTAAATATATTTGGATCAATGATTTAGTTTGGCATGATCCTATAAGTTAGAATATTTTTATAAATCTGGATTAGTGATGCTGCTTTTGTCAGGACTTTTGGCAATGTTGGGAGTGAAACTAAAAGGGTGATGACATATAAATGACATACTGTAAGTTTATAAGTAGAATTTCATCATGTTTTTTTATTTTAAAAGATTGACTTTATGTGTCTTCATTGTTTTATATTCATGCTAATACCATTTTATTCATATTTATTATTTAAATGAAAATTTTAAAATTATATAATAAATTTCTTAAGTCAATAAATTTCATAACCCGATATCGTCTTATATTAACCCGGTCTAAACTGACTTATAAGTTATCGGGTTTTTTCGGGTTTAGGTACGGGATAAGGTCATTAAAATAACCTGGTCAAAATTTAAGACAAGATTATGGTTAGTAAAAACCCTTCCCAACCCGTCCACTGCTCACCCCTACTCTTTAGTATTCTATTGGATTGCTTCTCAAGTAACACAATATTTAACAATCCTTCCTCAGTATCTAAGCCCGACCCTCATCATTTTTAACATTGGATACAAAAGCTATGCTCTTGTTCTTTTTCTCATACTTGTCACTAATAGGCAATTTAAAAGTTTGAAGTGACTCAACAAGCTCATCAACTCTCATGTTGCTGATGCTTTGAGCTTTTTTTAATAAATGTTACCTTCATATAAAATTTTTTAGGCAGAGACCTGAGAATCTTTCTAACAAGCTTTTCTTATGACATTTTCTCCCCCAAGATACTAGATGCATTTGCTATTTTAATAATATTCATATGAAAGTCATGAATACTTTCATCATCGTTCATTTTTAGATTCTCAAATCTAGTAGTGGAAAGCAGAAGTCTGGACATCTTCACTTTAGAAGTGCCTTCATGAGTTGTCATAAGGATTTCCCTAGCATCTTTAGGAACAATACATGTATTAATTAACCTGAAAACATTCTTGTCCACTCTATTGAATAGAGCATTCAAGGTTTTGGAATTTCCAAGAGCTAACTTATCTTTCTCTTTAGACCATTCTTCTTCCGGATTCAAAGACTCATTCTCATCTTTGTCCTTCACAACAAAATGATTCCATCCTTTCAAAACAGCCTTCCAATAATTGTTGTCCATGGATTTAAGAAAGGCTACCATTCTAACCTTTCAGTAGTCATAATTTGAATCATCTAACAAAGGTGGTCTGTTATTGTATCCTCATTCCTTGTCCATAGTACCAGAAAGTATTCTCCCTATAACTCACCCAAAAACAAAACAGGTTGCCTGCTCTGATGTCAATTAAAATTCGGACACTCTCAAAATTGATATTAAGACTGATGTCACAACACCAAAATCCAATGTCAGGACAAATGTTAAGACATCATATTCCCGATACAACAATTTGTAGAAATTATGAATTATACAGAAACAGAATTGCTGAAGATAAATAACACAGTCAATTGTTAACCCAAAATTTAGTGCAACATCACCTACTTTGAAGGCATTCAAGCCAGGAAAGAAATCCACTATGATAGTACTAGTTCAAAGCTAAACAATCCTAGTTTACAACTTATCACCTAATCACTACCTTATGCAATTTCTGTCTAGGAACCTCCTAGATATGAGAACCCCCTATCACTTCCCACAATCACCACAATGACCATAACAAAAGACCAAAATAAAAGATCACACTTCCAATTACATATAATTCACTATTTGCTTAAAAACTCATGAGTGATTGACAATAAATAATGAACAATCTGTCAAACTCTATGTATCAACATGATACATGAGTGACATACACAAAAACACAATACTCTGAAAAAGACTCCCAAATCGTAAGACTCTTATAGAATAACTTCTCCTTATTTTTCACAACTTTCATTAAGTTTATGTTTTTCTTTTTAAAGACCTCAGTTGTCCATGAGCTTCAAATTCTCTACCCAATTTGTTGTAGATCACAAGCTGATAGCTGCATAAATTATGCAAAAAATCTCCTTGAATCTTTGAACAAAACATCTTAAGTTTCTTAAATTGTCTCAACATCCAACTTTAGAAACCAATATATAGTTAGGGATAAAATCAATTGTTCCAAATAAAATCTTCTTAACCTGCACAAATAAGTGAGATGTATCCAAGAGAATCCCACAAAATCAAATCAAACCTGTCAAAAAAGTAACAACAGATATATCAGTTGACAAAGATGTCACAACATCTTATCCAACAACACCTGCTATAATAGTTATTCAAGATGTCACAATATCTTACTCAACATTTTATTGTAATACATATTTTTCCAAATAAAATATACTCTATCAAAATTGTTGTCAATCATAAAATAAAAAACATAACAAACTTAATATTATATGTAAATATAAACAATTTATCCTTTATGATAAAATAACCATTTAACTTTGTTGTCATAATTTCATTAATCTATGAATAGGCTAGGAAAGTACACCAATAGTCTTTAAGTAGTGAAATTCTATCTAAACAAAAAAACAAAAAATAGTAAGGGACATGTGAGCTTTGAACGTGGCTGAACAATAGCCATGCCTATCACTAAGCTGGGGTAATGTCTGTTCTTCCACGAAATGGATAATGGTATAAGTACACTACAATGCATTGAAGTGAAAATGTGGTTTTGGTTGGTAAAGTGAAAGATGTTGGCATATATTAATGTTCTTGATGAGCTCGTCAGTTGTGTTATCCAACAACTTCATTCTATTTAAACACCACCACCACAACAACTCTCCCCTCTCCGTCTCGCCGCATCAACAACCTTCATCCACTCTTCACTTCTTTACACGGCGGCGGGAACTCAGTCGGAGGAGGTTTATTACAAAAGCGGAAAGCCATAACAGTAACAGTTCAAGGAAACGCAGCAGTTGGTGGTTCAAATTTATTTCCGAGGAGGACGGGAACTGGTTTGGTTTGAAGGACGATGATATGATGGATGTCGAAGAGGAACAGGAGTTGTCGGAGGAGGAAAAGTTTGAGGCGTGGAAACAGCGAGCGGAGGCAATTATAGATTTGAGGGAAGCTCAAGAAGATAGGAGGAATGAAGAGCATAGGAAGTGGGAAGACTGGCTTTTGGAGGAAGAGAAGGAGGATGTTGCAACTTCTTCTTGGGAGAAGGGAATCAAGGATTATAGGGAGGAGATTCGACTGGATTCGCCTGAAGAAGGGCTTGTTAAGTCTGTTAGGTCTTTGATTTTCGGAAATGAACAGAATGATGATGATGATGATGATGATGATGACATGCTTTATGAAGATCGTGTTTTCCAGTATGCTTCTTCAAATTCGGTAACTGCTTTCAAGAACTGAATCATGTGCTTAATACATTCTCATACTGCTAACTCAATTCCATATACCATTGTTGTTATTACAGGCTAAATTTTTGGCAGTGTTGATTATTATACCTTGGGCAATGGATTTTCTGGTTCATGACTATGTACTAATGCCTTTTTTAGACAGGTAATTCTGTGAACTCAATTCCATAAACCTATTACTTTTGTCATTTCCTTTTTTGCATTCTTTGTTCTTGAGTATAAGTTATTTATTATTGATTTTTTACTTGTGTGGCTGTTTAATCTTTTTCCTTTGCCAGATATGTTAAGACTGTACCACTTGCTGCCCAAATGCTTGATGTGAGAAAATATCAAAAGCTTGAAATAGTTGAGGGATTAAAAACTGAGAAAGCACGATTTAAGTTTGAGGTAGAGATTGGTAAATCTCCCCCTCTTTCTGATGACGAGATTTGGTGGGAATTGAGGAATAAAGCGTAAGATCCGTACTTTGAATTCAAGAAAGTCCAAAATATAAATTATTAGATGATGTTATTGTTATGCATTGTCTAGCGTTATTTGTTTACGATGACCTTGTTAATCTTCTATTGTTGTATACTTGTTGCCTTATTTCCCTTCTATTTTTTTTTTTGCTCTGACAGATTAGAGTTGAGAGATGAGTGGAGATTGAAGAATCGCAGAGCATTTGCCAACATATGGTCAGATACAGTTTTCGGGGTCTCTTTATTTATTCTTTTGTACTTCAATAAGAGTAAAGTAAGTTTGCATTTTCTTCTTCTGCTAAATGTTTTTATGCATTGCCGATTTTGTTTGATGTGTTTTCTACCTTAAATATCACTGTTATTTTTGCGATATATCATTACTCTATGTTGCCAGTCCTAGATAGTGGAGCAGACAGCTTCAAAACTGGAATGACTTCCATTTGATACGTTTAGGAAGTATTTGGTCTGAGAATGGCTAAATAAATGCTGTTTTAGGTCTTCAATACCTTCTTGATCATTATCTGTAGTGACAAGATTAATACCTTTATTCATAGATGAATGTCTAAAGAATACAATTATCTTCTAAATAGCTTTGTTTAATTTTCAAAACCAAGCTTGAGGGGAATGTCTAAAACCGTACAAAATATGTAACCTGCAAACAAAGCTAGGTGGTTGCTCCATATAGATCTCCTCTGCTAAGTCTCTGCACAAAAAAAATACTTTTAATATCAAGCTAATACAAAGGCCAATGTTTGACTGCAGCCATTGACAAGAAAAGGCATACTAATGCCATTTTTGCAACTGGAGAGAAGGTATCATTGTAGTCTAGACCATAAACTTGAGTGCACCCTTTAGCTATAAGTCCGACTTTCAAACGATTCACTTGTCCATAAAGGCCTACATTAATAGCAAAGACCCCACAAGTCTTCAGTATCTACCTGGGTCAGGATATAGCTCCCCATGCTTAGGAAAAAGTTTTACATCAGGGTTCGTAAAAGTGTCAACTGGTTTTCAATCTCTAAGACCTGTCTCCTCCAAAATATCAAAAGCATACTTTGATTGAGATAACAATTCCATGCTTTGATTGAGTTACCTCAATTCCAAGAAAGTAACGAATATAACCCAAGTCCTTAGTATGAAAGTTCTGAAATAGACGCTGTTTTAATGCCTTGATACACTTATGATCATCACTTGTAATCACAATGTTGTCAACATAATCCACTGGGTAGATATATTTATTTGATGATGAGCACTTGGTAAAAGGTGAGTGATCTTCCTCACAAGAGATCATCCCAAATTGTCGTAGCACTACTAAATCTTCCAAACTATGTCCGAGGTGATTGTTCAAGAAGGAAATAGAACAAGTTCCCGAGTATGAATAGATTCTAAAGCTTACATCTCATCAGTTATGGTTTGTCTCCACCCTGAATTGGATAATGCTCCTCGAGTAGTCTTAGAAATAGAAACAAATGAAAGTGCAGAAACAAAAGCACAATAGGTGAGATAAACAATGGTATAACAAGAAATTTTAAATAGATATGGGCTGGCGGTTCTACACTTACCTTTGTGTATGGGAATGGGAAAATAAATAGACACAGGTGGAGTCGAAGTAGGTGTGGAGACACTTGGTACAAGAGCCGAAACACGTGGTCCTAACCTTCTCTCATAGATGATGTCATACCAGTTCAAAGGTGGTGGAGACTCAGAAGAAGACCCATTTGGTACTTCAGAAGGAACATAAGATAGAAGATTGTACTCAATAAACTTAAAATAGGAAATAGGCAAAACCTCATCCAATAGGTGTAGAATGAGAGAGACAAACTGTAGAATGAGGTGAAGAAGTGAAAAACACAAGAAGGGGGGTTGAATTGTTAAAAACTGGAAATCAAATGCAGACAACACGATATTTTTATCCTGGTTCGTTTGACCTCAAACTACTCCAGTCCACCCGCCAAGGTGATTTCGCCTCTCTCCAACGAGGACTTAAGTCACTATATTCAACTGAATATTACAACTGCTTTAGCAACTGCTAAAGCCTTCTTGAGCCCGAAACCACAACCCGGTTTCCTCAAGGAAATTCACTAAACAGATAATTGTATATAAAAGTGTACAGAGGTGTTTCTAAATAAACAGTATCACAAACTTGTGATGTATTACACAGCTTAATAATGAATTGATGAAGATGAATACTGTTTGTAGCTTTACTGACTTTTCACGTTTTTTTGTCGTTGTTCATCTTGTCTGAAATCTTCTTCTAGTCTTCTTTATATAGGCTTTGCAATAGAGACATAAGAAGATACTTTTGGTATGTCCATAACACGCGTTTAATGAGCTTTTCAAAACAGGAGATTCTTGTCTGTTTGTAGCTGTTGCATATGATCTTGCATTGATGGAGTTGTAACGCTTGAGAGACAGAATCAGATATTCTGTTTTGCTGCGCTGGTGCATTCAGAAGTTCAAACAGAACTTCTTCATATAAACGTGTTATGCATATTTGATGTTGCTGAATCTATCATAGTCCACTCAACTTCTGTGCTTGCATAATCAGAACTTCTGATGATGTTCTGGCAGATCTTCCAGTTGCATTAGAACATCTTTTTCACATCAGAACTTCTGCTGTAAAGATACTTATTATTAGCAAGCATATTTGTTCTTTATATCATGTGTTTGTTATCATCAAAACTCTTGCTGAACTGTAGAACTAAATTATGTTCTAACATGAGGCTTCTTTTTTATGGCAGATGATTTACTGTTTCATATGTGTTTTTGCATAATCCTAAGTTGTCGGTGTTCACTAATAATTTATTATGTACTTTCATCTAAATTATACATATTAATTATCCTTTGTTTTGTTTCTTTGCTCATGTTGTGCAGGTAGCCTTGCTCAAATTTACTGGTTATAAAATTCTAAACAATATTTCTGATACTGGGAAGGCGTTTCTAATTATACTTGTAACAGATATTTTTCTAGGGTAACTTCCTTTTCCATCTTGGTAATTGTTATCTATCACATAAAATTTGTATAGCCTATTTTGTTTTGACTTTCTTTTTGATTTCTTGAGTCTTTTGTTGCATATTGGGATGCCTACAGGTATCATTCTGAAACTGGTTGGTACACTCTGATAGAGATGATTGTTGAGCACTATGGGCTTGAAGTAGATATGTCCGCTATTACTATATTTGTTTGCTTGGTCCCAGTCACCGTTGATGCATGCGTCAAACTTTGGGTATTTTCTTCTCTCTAGTTATTGCTAATTTTCATTGGTAATGCGTATATTACCATTCACCACTTATTGTTTTTGTGATGCAGCTGTACAAATTCCTTCCACGTTTATCTCCGAAAGTAATGAGTATATTTCAGGAAATGCAGCGTCACTAGTTGAAAATTCTATGTCTGGGATTCGACTGTTTACTCTGGCTTTATCTACTAGAATAGTTCCAGTTTTTCACCTTACCTCATTCTTGTATGCATTTATTCATATAGAAATCACCGGCCTTTGGTGTAATAGTAACTTTTCCACAAGTTCAGCTACTGGTTCATGCTACTCTCTTTCGCGGACTCGTGCGTTCGCACATGTATTTTACTGGTTCGATAGTACACTACACTTCAAGGTGCTTTGTGTGCACAAAGAGATTGGTCACTCAAATCCGCCAATAAAGCTGAAATATGTTATGAGCTTGAAATTCAACTCATTCTTCGGTTTATGTCCTTGGGATATATTATATTTTGCAATATGATCATCAATTGTATTAGGAGATTGAGTCTCTGAAAGTAAAAAACTTGATGAAATATTTTTTATTTGAAGTCAATATTTTGTATATGGCAGGTGCTTCTTTGTAAGAGAGTTTCTTTTTTCCAACTCTGAAAAATGGAAAAAGATAGATGTTTTCTTTCTCTAGATAATCTAACAAATCTCACTCTTATTGAAAAATGAAAAATTGTGAGTACAAATAAGCACCACCATTGGAGCTTGAGTAACTAATCTAGTAAATGATCTTATATTAAACAACGAGTAGTAAAAGATTTGTGCGTTCATATGGGTGTTTTTATTTATATCTTAGATCATTTGATAAGACTTTATCACTTTAAAAAATTAAGTATTATAGTGCTACTGACTCGTGAAATTAAAAGTTTAATTATTTTTAATAAAGTATTGTAATTAAATATTTATTTATTTATTATTAATATTATTACAATATGAATAATTATCATATGAAATACAATTAAATGTAAATTTTAATTTGAAATGAATTGTTTAATTATAAAATAAATAATTATTATATATAGATTCAATTGCATTAACCAAATAAAATTGAGACAAAAAATATAATTAAACAAAAGTAATTGGTCAATTTCAATGCCTTATAATCAAACAAATTAATCAAAAGAATGAACAAATACATCCAATTGATTTTCTTTCACCAATCCTCTTGTTCATAAGACAACATATATCAAATTGTTAATTTTCAGTATGAATGAATTTATTTGATACGCAATAAAATATATTTAGAAGCACATAAGTTTGAAATAAAATATTTAATTGTAAAAGAGTCAATTATCATATAATTCAATTATATTAAATAATCATATAAAATGAAAAGAAAAAAAGAAATCTATGAGATGGAGAAAGAAATTTTTTTTTGAAATTTGAAAATAAAGAATTTTGTTTTTAAATAAAAGTGATTGTTGATTAAAATAAAATAGATATTGTGTTGAAAGTGACTCGTAAGATTAAACATTTTATTATCGTATTTCATGTACTAATTTAGTGTGTAATAAATAGTTCAATCAATTGAATAATAATTGCTTATAAAAAAGAAATTTTAATGATAATAATTGATTAAATTAAAATATATATTATGTTAATAGTAATCTGTGAAATAAAGAAATTTTAATTTTATTTAAATTAAAAAATAAATTATACTATCACGTAATTGATTTTTAAATTCGATTCTGAATTTTATATTTATCTTTTACCTTTCTTTTAAGAAGATTTTAGTATAGAATGAAAGAAGATAATTGGATTGCAGCAAAAAAATATTAATGTTTTATTGGTATTGTATAAAATAAGTTATAATTTGATATAAACAAATATTTGTTTAAAAAAATTCGAATAATCATTATCATTTGAGTAATTGTATTTGAAATTATTTAATGAAATCAAGCAATAATATTATTTGTAGAAAGAGATAATTTATAATAGCTATTATAAAAAATTGGTTTGTCAATTTTATTTTGTTGATTATGTCAAGACAATTATAAAATAAATAAGTGCAAGTTAAAATGTAAAAAAATGACATCCAAAAATTAATTAGTAACTGTTGTATTCCAAAAATTTTCCTCTCATTTCTCAAGAAATCTCTCATAAGATCTCCATTGATTCAAGACTACACAAGGTTTGATCAGCTCAAGACACCTCCTCAAACACTGGTGACTCAAATTAGGGTTTGAGTTTGCACAAGGACAAATGGACTTTTAATGCCTCAAATGAATTTCATGGATCATTAGGAACCCTCAAGATTGCTCATGTCAAGTTTCAAGTCTCGGATCATAAAATTGCTCAGTCATTTGATCAAAAGTCAACTGTGATCAATTTGCAGTCAAACTTCATAATTTTTGATCCATATCAACATTAGGAACTCATATATGTCAATTGATCAAGTTTGGATCATAATTCCTCAAAGAAATTTGATCAAAACACCAAAAAGGCAAAATGGTCAAAATTAGGGTTTTGATTGAGAAGGCCCAATTCTTGACTTTTGACCAAGGAAATGACTTATTAGTTTAAAACATGATATCAAAGATTCAAATGCACCATCTTGATCTAATTGCATAGTTCAAATCACCTCTCAAGATTATTGGATTGACAGATGAATTTCAGTCAACTGATGAAAAGTCAACTGTACACTGAAAATTTAAACTTTGACTTTTTGATCAAAATCAAGTTTCAAAAATCATATTTCATCAAGACATGTCAAAATATGAAACTTGTTCATCAAGAAATATAAAAGTCAAAGTTATCTTTGAAAAGTCAAAATTCTAAGACTTAGAAATTTTTCTAAGTGTTAGAAAATTAACATTTTTTCATAACTTTGTGCCAAATTTCCACCATGATGCAAGATGATTCAAGAAAAAATTCCAACATGAAATTTGTAGATCTCAATGAGATCTAAAACATTGTAGGGTAGAATTTTTTCTAGAAATGCTTGGATTTCAAGTTATGAATTTATTAAGACATGTCCATGAAACTAAAAGACTTAGTTAAATTTTGTCCAAGTTAGGCAGATGTTACAAGCTTTCAAAAATATCCAATAACTTATTGAGATCATACTTGAGCTAAGAGAATCTAAGGCAAGAAGTTAGGGTTTCAAACTTGTTTTTCAAGTCATTTTCATGATGAACATTTGATCCAATTCCAAGCAATGCTGCATAATCCCACTTTTCAGGCCCTCTAACTTGTGTATCTATCCTTAATCAGAAGATTGCACAAGCTTTTGAGCTATGAACCACTTGATTTAAGCTTTGTCCAATACACCTTGCCATTTAAGGAAGAAAGACACCACTTCCATTTTGAAAAAGCAAGCTTTATGCAAAGTCAACTTGTCTTGAGCTTTGCACTTGTTCCTTTTCCACACACAACACCTATAAGTTAGAAGCAAGCTTGTTTAAAGTTCAACCACTCTACAATAGTATGGTACAAGATTTGGGAATATGTTTGTCATGGTTGCTTCAAAAACAAGTAAAGGTTTTACAACTTGATATTTCAAATTCTGACTTGTTGTAGCATACAAAACCTCTTGCCTATAAATACATACACTATTTGCAAGCTAACACACGAATGCTTAAGCCCTCAAACCCTCTCAAAGTCAGGATTGCATAAACAACCTCCATTGTCGCACTTTCTGGCCAAAAATTCCAAACACCTAATCCACTCGTGCGTTTCTTGGCCTTTCACTTCCAAAAGTTCCTAAACATCATCTACAAACAATCCCACACCCTGTTACACGACTGTAACATCTCCATCACCTTCCTCCATAACCAAAAAACAGAGCTTGCATCTTGACTTCTCCAGACCATTTCAGCCATCCATAGCTCAAGCTAAGCATTGCATTAGCTTCCTAAGAACCTGGGGAAGCTAACCTGATCATCATCATCACTTGAAACAAGCTCAAACTCATTTCATAATTTCCAGTTTTTGAGGTATTTTTCTGAACTTCCATCTCTTTATTTAGGCATTGTTAGGCTTTCGTTTTCAAAGATAAAATATAGATATTATTACCCTGAAGTTGTACATATCCATAGTTTTCATTTATATTGCCCGAGCTTAGAGAATTTTAAGTTTGAATCTCTGAAAAAAGTTAGGTCAGGATTTGGTACTTTTAGAAATAATTGCTCATTTTTTATTATTATTCCAAATTGTTTACATTTCTGAAATCCTGGTAAATTTTTTAACAAGTTTGATGTTGGAAGTTTTGAGAATGGATGAGAAATGAGTGAGATACAGGGACCCTGGCTGGAGGTTGAAGATGAAGTTCATTTCTAGGAATGGATTTGTGTTATATATTTATAGTTTTGTTTAAGTTAACGGATGTATAGCCACCCAATGGTAAGGCAGCGCGCGTATTATGTGAAGGGCGTGGGTTCAAGCCCCAGCGCTGCCACTTTTTGTTTTCTTTCTAACATTTTCTTCTACTTTACAAACAAGCCAGCGCGCTCGGGCCATCCCTCACTGGGCCTTTTCATTTTTTACTAACCCCCCTCTTTGCAGGTTTTACAGCAGGCCCAATGTTTTTTATTTTCTTTTCTTTTGCTGATTAACAAAAACATTAATGGGCCAGGCTTCAAACAAAAACTGTTTTTTCCTAACAAACACCCTAAATGCCATTTTCACCCCCTGGCTTTTATTTTTATATTTTACTTTATTTTATTTTTCTTTATTATTTATTATTATTATTATTATTATTATTATTAATATTATTATTATTATTATTATTATTATTATTATTATTATTATTATTATTATTATTATTAAAAATCCAAAAAATAGCTTATTTATTTATATATCTAATATACTTATTTTCTCTTATTTTTATTTCCTTTTTTATAAACTAAAAAAGACAAAATATTTTTTTAAACAAACTTAATTTCTTTTTCTTAATAAATTAATAATTAGATTTAGGTTAATTATTTTCTTTTTAATTAAAATTAACTTAGAATTTAGGTTTTCTTTTAATTAATTAATTTCCATACTATTTTGATTAAACTTAAAACCTTTTCTAAAAAACCCTAAAGATGCTTTCTTGATTAAATTTAATTTTTTTTCTTAATTAATTTAGGTTTAATTTTCTTAATTTAATTAATTATTTCTTTTAGTTAAT